CAGGTTCATTATAATACCAGATTCGCAATAGCTGAATATTTAATTAAAAACAGTAATGTGATAGGTCTTATAGCCCGGACATATTTTTTAGTGTCGAGTAGACTAATACCGATTATCACCTAAAGGTTTTAGAATCAGTATATATTAAGTACTACCAGCCATCTCTCCGTAAGAAGAATGAGGGGTCGGTGGGCTTAAATGTAATTAGCATTTATTGTTTTATCTTTTGTTTACATATAACATTGCTCGGGGGTTGTACATTTTTTCGTCGCTTTTTTCAAATTTTGCCCTCGATTGATGAGAGAGACCGATAAACCGGTTTGTCAATTAGTTTCGTTATATTTCAGTATTAACAGTTTAAGGTAATATATATATATATATATATATATATATATATATATATATATATATATATATATATATATATATATATATATATATATATATATATATATATATATATATATATATATATATATATATATTGGTATGCCTCTTTTCTTGTGGATTCTTTTTATTGCTCTGATAAAATGTACACAATCGAAAATATTCTAATACATAGGGGCCAGGTAGAATGTTTGAGTGCACCTCTGGATATAATTTATAAATATATAAATTTACAATACATATAACCCTCTCTCATTTTCTCTTTCTCTCTCTCTCTCTATGTATATACACACACACATATATGTATCACTATATATAAAATAAGTATCTCTCAGGGTATTCTTATCTACCTATCTATCTATCTCTCTCTCTATCTATCTATTCGATTCTGGTTTGTTTATATGTGAGTTCATCTGAGTTCAATGTGCATCCATGTTCATAAATTGAGTTCGGATTTATGCGAGAGCAAAAGAGGCTTACTGACAGGTCGTGAATAGATTATATGTGCAAGATGGATTAACAGGTGCTTTCTTGCCGAGAAGCGAGTGCCAAAAGGTACATGAAACGAGTATCCAGTTAGTTCATAACAAAATGCCGAATCTATCGAAACATGACCGTCTTACTGGATTACTTCTTAAAATTTAACGTCAAATAACTGTCGATTGTTGACGAACGATAGAATTTCGCCTTAGCAAAAACAAACCCCTGACAGCTAGCATATATATATATACATATATGTATAAACACACACACACACACACACACACACACACACACACACACACACACACACACACACACACATACATATATATATATATATATATATATATATATATATAAATGCTTACTTATGCAAATGGCTGTTCAGCCAATGACATGGTTATGGCGACATGATGATTATAATTCAATTCAATGGATGAGTATGGGAAAAAGTTGATTCACGTGATTTTGAACGTAGCATGGTTGTTGGTACCAGACGGGCAAGTTTGACTACTTCAAAAGCTGCAATGCTAGGTGTGAATATTTCAAAACTACTGATCCTCTCAGATTTCACGCATAACCAGCTATAAAGATTACAGTGAATGGTCAAAAAAAAAAAGAAGATATCTTGCTGTTAAAAGCGGCCGGAAGACAATGACTAAGCTGGGTCAAGCTGAGAGAAAAACAACCTTAGCTCAAATAACCATGATGGTGAAAAGAATAGGCTGCTGTGAATGCAAAATATATCGAACCCTGAAGCAGATGAAGCACATCAACAGAAGATAACTCCAAGTGCCACTTCTGTCAGATAAGAACGAGATGCCAACACCATAATTTGGCATAAACAGCACAAAAGTACGAATCCATCTTGACTTGTATCAACGGCCAGCTTGATAATGCTGGAGTAATAATACGGTAAATAAACTGGATTGGTATTCCTGTACAAAGAATGATTAAATGCCCCGACTTACACAGGTATCATAGCTGACCATGTTCCTTCATTCATGACTACAGGGCACCTATCCTCTGATAGGCACTTCCAACTGGGCAACGTACCATGTCTCAAATAAAAATCATTGTAGATTAGTTCATAGGACACAGCAATTATTTTTCTTTATTCTGCCGCCGCATTCATTGGATCTCAATCTCGTAGAGCAACTTGGAAAGATGTGGTGGAAAGGGAGATTCCAATTCTGATTATGTAGCTAAGCAATCTAGAATTAAGTAATTACACGATAAAATCAAGGATTCAAATTTCGCAAGAATGCTTCCAGAAAGTCGCATCCATGTCAAGAATAATCGGGTTAAAGATCTGCATAACCCAGTACTAGAAGATTATAAATAATAAAATGACTATATATATATATATATATATATATATATATATATATATATATATATATATATATATATATATTAAGCAATTCCCTCGAAGTAAAGCGGGAGTGCCACTAGTATGAATGGGATTACAGAGAGAGAGAGAGAGAGAGAGAGAGAGAGAGAGAGAGAGAGAGAGTATATGAGAGACAAAAGAGGAATGTGGTTTAAGACGACACAAAATGGAGATTGACGTTGGAGGTAAATTTTTGAAGATTGCGGTTATCAGGGAAGCAAGTAAGAGCAAGAGAGTTCCACTGTTGGGAAGTACGAGATAAGAAGCTGTTGGAGTAGAAGAGATGGCTACATTTAACTGTTTCGATAGTGAAAGGGTGGGGCCAAGATGCCAATCTTAGTACCATGCCTAAATTCATGTAGTCGGGGCACCAAGGGAAAAAAACCCGTCTAAACAGTTGCCACGAAAAGACAGAGAGAAGCCACATCACGTCTGTGAGAAAGTGACTGAAGTCGAGATGCCATATCAGGATCGATTACATGGCAGATCCTTCTTTGTATTTTGTGAAAACCGTCAAGATGAGCAGCAGGGGCATCACAACCAGATATGGCAAGAGTATTCAATGCACCAACGAATGGTAGATTTGTAGATGTTTAAATTGACTGAGATGAACAAATCCTTCTGGTACGACTCAATGAATCAACTTTGCTTGCAGTAGATGCAGCTGTTGATTAACTGTAGTTGTTCCAATTCAAGACAGTCGAAGACATGAGTCAAGGAAGGCACAGTGATTCGCTCTCCTGGAGCCGAGCATCAGCCATGCTCATGGCGGACAGGGAAGTTTCTCCATGATGGTTAAATGAGAGCAATTTCGTTTTGGAAATATTAAAATTTACAAGCCATTTCCTGCCCCAGTTAACCACTGATTAGAGGTCCGTTTCGAGAGTAGCGGCCACGCTAACCTTGTCATCGTTGACGGATTTACTATTGAGAAAGGAGTAAATGGTAGTGGCATCTGATAGGTGACTATTTAGCGGGTGATGACGTCTTGAAGATCATTGATGACGATCAGAAACAGCGTAGCAACCAGGATATAGCCTTGGAGGACACCCACGTTCGTGTGAAAAGGATCTGGAAGCGAGACCTTCAGAACGACCTTCATTTCACGATTTGATAGGAATGATTGGATTAAATCAAATAATCGTCCTGTAATATCGTAGCCCTGAAGCTTACGTTGAAGACCAGCATGCCAAACCTTTGAGATATCTAGAGACACAGCTTTGCCGTTATTATCAAGAGCTTGTGAAAGCTGGTATCTCGTCACCTCCACTTGCCTTATAAGAATCTAATGGGAATCTTATGGGAATCGAATTTAGAAATGATGTCCGAAACCAGCAACAGAGTTATGCGCATATCAATATGTATAGCCTCAGTTCTCGGGAGGAAATCTGGTATGGTAGTCTTGATGAGTTCTGTGTTGAGTTGGATGAGAATTTTCGAGCAAAGCATTCAACCTTATCTGCTTTAAATGTCATTGAGTCTTTTCTAAGGTGAGAAAGATAACCAGAAATCGGGAAATCAGAAGAAAATATTGAAGAGTTAAGGGCAGAGAGCTAGGATGTCCAGGTACTTTTCGAACGCTTTCCCACTGCAGATGTTGGTACGATTAACACGAATGTTGGAAAAGGACAGGTTAAGGGATTTAGGTGTTTTTGTTTATGTGGTTTAGGTTTATATCTTTGGTTGTTTATAGCCATGCTCTTTTATATCGGTAAAGAGAAGGATTAAGTTAGTAGTAGCAGTTAGTCATCTTATGTATGATGTGCAGAAGGGAACTGGCACAGACTGCAACATAGTGTAGCATCGAGGTTGCCAACCGGTGGTGCTTGCAGGGACGTTCTTACATGCGCGAAATAGCACTGCAAAAACCCCGGTATTATGCAAATGCTGATTAAGAGTAGCCTCTCAGAACGCGAAGCAAGATTTCAGGCTCCTAACAGTCTATAATATATATTAAGTCTGTAATATATATATATATATATATATATATATATATATATATATATATATATATATATATATATGTATGTGTGTATAATCGATTTCTATTTTTCTCAGATTAGGCAGTAATATGGATTTATTTTCGGGGTGTAAGATGAAATTTGTTTAGCCTTTGAAAATATTTCCGTCATATGTGATTGCATCAGAATTTTATCACGCCCTAACACTATTGTCTTGACTGTCGATTAGTTGTCCTACAGCCATTGTCTACGATGGACCTTACTCCAAGGAAGCGTACGAAAGTTATAACGCTGTACGATCTCCTGATTTAAATCCAATCGAGAATCTGTGGTCAATCTGCAAAGAACGACTTCGTGGAATGGACATCCGAAGTACTATCATGTGTACTGGGTCATGTCTCATCGGAAAATACAAAAAAAATAAATAATAACAGAATTATTTGTTTTGTTTCAATTAATTTGCCCAAGGGCATATGTTAAAATATAAACTTAGTCTCCTTAAGTCTAAAAGACCAAACGCTGCACATGAAAACTTTTTTTCACTTTGTCATTCTCATTTTCCTTAAAATTAATCTTTATATATAATATATATATATCCTTATCCCATATATATATATATATATATATATATATATATATATATATATATATATATATATATATATATATATATTGGGAGAGACAGAAAGTGAGTTTAAAGGAGAGAGAGAGAAAAAGATATGGTGATAGAGAGTGTATGTCAGTAATGTATACTTAATTCTGATTTATTTTAATTATTAATCCACAAAAATGACAAAAAAGAACGAAAGAATAAAAGAGTGAAGGAAAGAGGAGAAAGACAAATATATGATAGAACTGACCATGAAAAAAAGTAAAAGGGAACTCAAAAGAAGATTAAAAGAAAAGAAAAGAATGACAGAAAAAAATATGACAAAACGAAGAAACATTTTTAATACGGCAGAAATTAAAAAAAGAAATAAAAAATAACAAACAAAAAAAACCCCAATAAAACAACAAAAATAAACAAAAAAAAAATCAACCGAAAATATAAAAGAAAAAGAATAACTCAAAGGTGAAAGTGTTGGCTTGCAAAGACAGAGGAATGTGACAGAGGAAGAGGCTGCTGGCTTTTGACCCTAATCTTTAACGACAAGAGGAGTGAGTCAGTAAATCGGTATGGTAAATACCGCGTGTAATAATGTTATTTTATCAGGTGCGCGAGGATCACAGGACTTTCCTGGGGTCAGATTTACAAATCTTTTGAAATAAAGGATTTACTGTTCATATCTATATATCCCAGTTATTTGCTGTCGGTCTTTCAGTTCATATGTCTACACCAATATATATTGTTATCTGTCAAAGTCTGTATCTATCACCAAACTATCAGCATCAGCAATTATAATGACGTCTGTCTAAAGATGTTCGAAATAATGAGTCAGGGAGAAAGAGAAAGAAATTAATAACAGCAAAAAGAAGGAAAGTAAAAATAATTGTTATCATTAATAATGATAATAATAATAATAATAATAATAATAATAATAATAACAGACTTAGAAAAGAGCAAAAAAGAAAAGACACTGTTTAACAAAGACAGGATGTTTTGTCTTTTCTGTTCTTAAATTGCGCTCTTCTCTACGTGTTGAAAAACATAATAATACTATTATTAATATTATTATTATTAATAATAATAATGTTAACAAGGACCTTGAAATCGAAACCTCAAAAATGTGGTACATTAGAATATCAAGAATCCCTGTTGTAGTTGGAGCTCACGGATTGATTTGAAAAAGATTCCAATAGACTCATTGAAGGGATTCCTGGAAGCCCATACCTTAAAGAAATACAAAAAAATTAGTCTCACGAGTACTGCCCACACCTTAATAAGGGATTTATCTATGTAAAATAGCTGTGCTGTTTTTTTTTAATTGCTCAGTAGAAAATGTCATGATGTCATTTCTAGCCGGAAAACAAAGGAAATAATAATAATAATAATAATAATAATAATAATAATAATAGTGAAAAAGCCTCATCATTGACGTGATTGTTACTGTTGACCATAATATCAAGGTCAAAGAAATTGACAAGACTGAGAAATACAGTGACCTCCGGATTGTGGTTGCCAGAATGTGGGACGTTCAGGTCACTATTGTCCCAGATATAATTGGAGCATTGGGGTGGGGTCTATACTCCCAAATTTAAATTTCTATATTATGAAAATTTAAATTTTGAAGTTTAGCACCTAGTCCTTATATATATATATATATATATATATATATATATATATATATATATATGAAAGAATCCAAAATCACCTCATATGGGGAATAAGAAACAGCGGTCTCGCCTGTATTATCAACCCCTGTATATTTACATTTACTATATATATATATATATATATATATATATATAGTAAATGTAAATATACAGGGTTTTATAATTTTGTTTTTCTATTATCTATCTATCTATCTATCTATCTATCTATCTATCTATCTCTCTCTCTCTCTCTATATATATATATATATATATATATAAAGAAAAACAAAAACCGTTGGTAGAACAAACAGGCAACTTGCCTAAACTTAAAACACTTATCCAGTTAGAGTTTCGAATAAAACCGATAATACTGAAAAATGAAAGAGAAAAAAATGATCTAAAAGAAAACTTTTTACCCAGTAAAGTCCTCGAAGCCCAGATCGCCCAGATCGAGCAAAAAATCGCTTACCAACATTAAATCCTATGAAAAAATCACTCTAGGTGTGACACAAGTTACACATTTATGCGATCTCTAGAAGATTTGAACGGGCCCATTACGACTAGAACCATCCTTTCATACGATAATAACAACAAAAACAGGTCCTAGCAAAAAAATTAAGTTAATCATATACTACTCTAAATCTAGTATAACCAACTCAAATATTTGCAATGATTCTTCTCCCCTGGTTTGCGATTTGCAAAAAAAAAAAAACAACATAGTCTAAAAATTGAAGTACCCTTTGGGAGATTGTATCTCCAACGAATTAAATAATATTTATATTGGTCACACCACAAACTCGCTTTCAGGACGCTTGACACTTCTTTTGAATGATAACACCAACATTTAATAAAAACTAAAATAATTTTGAAGCTATATACATAAAACAGTTGAAACATCACCTGAACAAAATAAACTATGAAATCTCTACAAATATTTTAAATACCTATAATTGATAACAGAAGCCATTGGTTTATACCAACGGCTTCCCATACTTGATACTTCTCGAATTCCCTCTCGCGTGGTCATGTGTGTCGTCATGAGCTGCGGTGCGATTTTCGCTTCCAGCGTCTTATATGCACGAATTTGTCGTTGCTTGGAAATCATCCATGTAAACAGGAACAGACTATCATCACTGTCTTGTCCCTGTATTGCTTAATATATTGTAATGTAATTGTCATCTTTGACAATGGCTTATGTAAGCCGAAAGCTTAGATAGGATTAAAAAATATGGATCAATATTGTGATTTTCTTTCTTCGTTTAATGATAATGTTATTGAGCTTATCAGACGATATGAAAAGAATTTACATAAAATAAATAGACAACGCTTGTCTATATTATTTAATGAAACATGTATCAATATATATATATATATATATATATATATATATATATATATATATATATATATATATATATATATATTCGATTAAGAGAAAATTTGTCATTTAGCTGATTGATGTTATATTCAGCGCCCCCTACTCTAGAGTTCGTAGATAAATGTTTATTTGTAATTGTTCGTCAGGCGGTTTCAGCAATTAATTGCAGGTTTTCTCCATTTTCGTTATCTTTATATTAAAGTTGATCGGCCCAGTTGAGTCACAGTGGAGAAGCATAAGTGTCGTGAAAAAATCTGCCATTGGGAAATATATCTGGTGACTGAAAAGTAGACTCTCTGAGATATGATTCAGTTAATTGACAGAGAGCATCAAGTGTATTAAAAAAAAAAAGACTCTATTGACCACCAGTAGAGATAGTAAAAAGTTTTATGCCATTTTCTTAGTTTTAAATAAGTTTTAGAAGAATTGCCTACTCGCTATATCTGGAATCGTCTTGATACTCCTTGTATCCGAGACTGTTAAAGTGGATCCATCCGATTTTCACCGGTTTCATTTTGTCTTAATCTTTTCATCCTAAGCAAGGTGATGAAGCTAACATGAAGCAAAGAGTCACTGTTTTGAGGAATATTTATTTAAGAGAGAGAGAGAGAGAGAGAGAGAGAGAGAGAGAGAGAGAGAGAGAGAGAGAGAGAGAGAGGACAATAAAAGAACGGATTTCAAGGATATAGAACATGATTGATTTTTTATTTAAAGTTTAGAAGAACTTCGTTGACAGAAAAGCAAAAAATCGGAAGAGATATCAGTATAAACATGCGAGAGATATAGCTATTAGAATAGAACATAGCTGACATTAATATTATGAGATCTAGATACCAATCTAGTGCTATGGTTAAATTCATGAAATTTAGTTGCTGAATATTAGAGCTCATCAGAAGAATTATCATGAAAACGTTTATAGAAGAGGCACAGAAAAGCTAAGCTAGAAGAAGGTTTTACTTTTTTTTCATACCGTATTTATTTAATAAGATCTGAAGAATAGATAAGATGAAACTATGTGTTTTTAGTTTCTGTCTGTGGATGATTCTATCCGAACTGACCAAAAGTGAAAGGGAATAAGAAACACAAAAAATAATGAAATTAAAAACAAACAATGAGACATAGACATTTTTATCAGCATTAATGAAACAGTCTTAAAGAGGGAAATAAAGAGAAATTTGACAAGAGAAACCAGTCTTCTTCTTTTATGTGCCGTGACCATCTTATTTCATGTAAATCTTTTTCTCTCTTTCGTAAGGCCTCCACTCACGTTCTGCCATTCATTCACATAAGCTCTTCAGATAATTGGCTCTTACCCTCAATATTCCAAGTGAGGGTTAAGTTTTCCAAGTCCTCTTACCCATTATGCAATTTCCCGTTTTCTGATTTTGATTATTAGTATCTGTTGCTATTTTATTTAAGACTTCCTTGTTGCTTACTCGCTCCGTTCATATAATTTTCAATATCCTTCTGTAGAACCACATTTCTACTGCTTCTAGTTTTTTTCTCTCCTCATCCTTAGGAAAATGTTCAACATCCACTGCCATATAAGTGGATGGATACCACAGAGAAATCCAGCACTTTCTTTCACAGTGCCCTGCTCAGCTTTTGGAATGCCTCTTTCACTAGTCAAGTGCGTGTTCAGATCTAGGTATCGCATTTTCCATCCTGTGTTAAAACGTTAGTTCCCCCCAACTGATCGGTGAATTATTTGTACGTATATTTTCCTATTTTTGGTACATCTTCTTTTCATCAAAAAGTTCAGAATCTGGTGATTGGGCAAAAATTTTCCTTACTTAGCAGTAGGAGATTGGGAGGGAGAGAGAAGAGAGATTTCGAACTAGTGATAGAGGAAGAAAAGAAGAAAAATGAAAATGATGGAGAGAGAAAAGAAGAGAGATTTTGAACTGATAGAGATAAGAAAAGAAGAAAAATGAAAATGATGGAGAGAGAGAAAGAAGAGAGATTTCGAACTAGTGATAGAGTAAGAAAAGAAGAAAAATGAAAATGATGGAGAGAGAGAAAGAAAAGAGATTTCGAACTAGTGATAGAGTAAGAAAAGAAGAAAAATGAAAATGATGGAGAGAGAGAAAGAAGAGAGATTTCGAACTAGTGATAGAGTAAGAAAAGAAGAAAAATGAAAATGATGGAGAGAGAGAAAGAAGAGAGATTTCGAACTAGTGATAGAGTAAGAAAAGAAGAAAAATGAAAATGATGGAGAGAGAGAAAGAAGAGAGATTTCAAACTAGTGATAGAGGAAGAAGGAAGAAAATGAAAGGAGTTAGGTGCGAGGAAATTGAACAATCTGAACAAAACCGGCTTCTTACAATAACACTGTAATCCGCAGACAAACCGAGTAGCATTACAGAAAGCAGTGAGAAAACTTGCTGTCGCATGATCTACAGATGAAATCATATGCGCTAGTGTGAAAAAACACTGAGTAATAATATAATACTAATAATAGAAGTAATAGTCATATCATTAATTTTCATAGTTAATGGCACTACTAATAAAATTCTTGCTATTTTTATATGTAAGTTATATTTGTTGTCAATTGCTACTAAAATTACAAACGTGACTTGTAAGTCTAGTTTGAAAGCTGAGTCAAGAAATTTATTTTTGGACGGGATTACTAAAATAAATAAAAATGATGAAATTACAAAAAAAAATATATCAAATTAAAAACTACAAGCTTCTCTCCTCGTCGATAGGGGAATTCTTGATAGTGTAAAACAAATGAATATAAAATAGAGAAGTGAAAGAAATTAGGCTAGTTTAACAACTATTAGCTTCTGTATTCGTTAATAAATGAGTTTCCGGTATTTTGAAACAAAAGAATATAAAATGAGGAAAAGGAATAAATTAGGTCAGGTTAATAACTACAAACTTCTATTCTTGTCGATACGTGAGTTTTCGGCATTGTAAGACAAAGAAATATAACATTTCAAAGCAAAGGAATTAGGTCAGATTAACAACTACAAGCTTGTCTTCGTTAATACATGAGTTAGCGGTAGTGTGAAACATACAATCACGAAATGAAAATAAATAGGTCAGTTCTAGCCGTGTAACTCGGCCCTTATTACCGATTAACACAAAAGGGTCTTTGTCAATTTTATTTGTTAGTAATAGTAATGGTAACAATAATATTAATTCATTGACCAAATAGCCAATACTGCTTTCGCTTGAAAATTATAAAATCTTTCTTTTAAAACAATTTTACAGGAAAATAGGTTTCTCAAGTCCAGTGTTGGTTATCGCTCTTTCCTGTATTATTGGGAGTTTCCTTCCGAACCTTCTATTTGAAGTAATGTGGAATGCTAAAATCTTGATTATGGCATTATCTTATTTCCGAGTTATATGTGCTATTCATTTTAATGTTGCTACTGTTGGCACTTCTCAAGTGATGGGGTTTCTGTTATTTGGTACAGTTCTTTGTTTGGGATTAATTAGCACCAGTACACAATGTCCAAAAAAGGATGACCTTTTGTCAAGATGCTTAGGTAATTTTCGGTTTTGTGCAAAACTACATCTGGCACTGCCTATTCTATGTTCAATTTCTTTTCCTTTTATATTTAATTTGTTATAACTGATCTATATGCCGAGTTATCAGAAGACTTTTTTTTACTAATTCCACATCATGAAGATTTATGACGGTTTCTGGCTAGGCGTCATCACTACTTTCATTCCAGTTGCATATCATAGTTTCTGTTTTTGAAATGGTTTTTTTAATTCCCGTTTCTTGGGACATTTGATAGAGGATACTGATTTTTTTTTCAAGATCATTCTTATGAACACCTATGTCACCAGCATAGATCCCCTCATAATCAGTACATTGGCATCGGCTGGGATGCAGTATGTAACGTTTAAAAGTTCAGTACCCATCTCATCACATCTGTGTCTGCAGGAAAAGATTAAATAGACTTGGGCTCTCATCGAAATGTTTCCGTATTGGTGTCCTCGCCAGACATGCAAGATTCTGTAGATCGATATCATTCCTCTATTAAATCGATACATTCAGTAGAACCAGAGCTTGGAAGGTAGTTTCTAATGGATGTCTTCATTGATGTCATATATTGCTGTGAGGTCGACAAAGCAGATATACAGTTTCCTATTAGAGAGGTAAGCAATTTCTTGTGGTTGTTTTATGACATATATGCTATCATTGCAAACCAAACTGAGAAGTTGACTTTCATAAAACGATGAGAACCTGGTTAATAGTTTTATTAATAATTTCACCATGATGGATCCAATTGAGATACATCTGTAGATGTGAGGATCTTGAGGGTTACCTTTTTGTTGTCAGATCTACCTTTGGGATCTGTCGAGTGCTCGTAATAACTTGTCTAATAAGAAAAATGACACACATTTTACTGGAGATATTGGAGAAATTTCCAAAGGGATACAGACATAAAGCCGGTCTGAGTAGTAAATAGGTTTTTTCAGAGTTCTAAAAGACTTGCTTTAAAGATAACATTTGTTTAAATGTGAAAATTTCAACACTCGATCTGATTACACAATTCAAGGAAGCAAATAAGTTTTGATAATCGTCTACAAGGAGAAACATTCTGTTTAATGTGCACGTCATATTTGTTAGTTTCTCATATTGTTCTTTATTGGAAATATGTTGTTTCCAAACGACATTTAGCACTGTTCCCAATAGTCCAATGTATGTACCATCTGTTACATTTTGACAGTGATTTTGTGAATGTCCAACAATCGACACACTGGTATTTATCTCAGTTTGAACACTGACGTTTCATCGATAGCTTATGAATAAACTACTGGGATTCAACAATGAAATGTTAAGAACATAATAAGGTGGTATCGTTACACTGAGGTAGATTCATTTTCTTAGTCTTGGTTTGGTTTGGTTTGTTTTGTTTTACGGCATATCAACCTCAGTGGGTTATTTAATGCCGACAAGATTTTTATTGCTGGTAATATTCTTTCTCAAAAATATATTGTTATTAATATTTTTTCAAAAATGTATTGCTGGTAAAAAATTTTTCCAAATAAGTATTGCTAGTATTAAAACCTATTTTTATACTTTCATAGTATTTTGACCCCTCTAGAGGAATTAACTATTTGCCCATAGCTAAGACCCCTAAGAGGTGCGACCACCCGGTGTCAGGTGGACCTGAGAACAACAGCAATTAAGTGGTGGTTCCACGCTCCTCAAAACCTCCTGATCAAAAGTCATGCTGTTGGATGTAGTTTATAGTCTTACCCAGAACGCGGATGGAGTTTATAGTCTTACCCAGGACTCGGATGTAGTTTATAGTCTTACCCAGAACTCGGATGTAGTTTATAGTCTTACCCAGAACGCGGATGTAGTTTATAGTCTTACCCAGAACTCGGATGTAGTTTATAGTCTTACCCAGAACTCGGATGTAGTTTATAGTCTTACGCAGGACGCGGATGTAGTTTATAGTCATACCCATGACTTAGATGTAGTTTATAGTCTTACCCAGAATGCGGATATAGTTTATACTCTTACCCAGGATTCGGATGTTGTTTATAGTCTTACCCAGGACTAGGATGTTGTTTATCGTCATACTTATGACGGTCTTAGTGTTGGTGTTTTAGACTTTAGACTTGGTAGAATAATTTCCCACGGAGAAGAATAACTACGAATTCATGAACATTTATGACGATTCGCGATTTACAGATTTTAAGAGAAAGCGAAGTTATTGAGATCCTTTCTCTTAAAGATTCTTGGTGTTAAAAATATGCGTTTCTTTGCTTGCGTGGTGATGAATTGAAGTGCTAAGCTGTATGTTTTTCTCAAGCCTTTTTTAACATTGACACAGGAACTCTTGCTAGAAATAATCGAATTTGTAACATAGCTAAGTCTCTCACTCGCACACAAACATATAAACGCCAATGCACCAACACACACACAAACACACACACACATATGTATATATAAGTACTTACTGATAGTGTGGAACAAATATTTTCAGTGTCTATATTCATACACATGAAGAGGTATAGATACACTCATATACATACACAACGTCGGAAATGCTTACACACTCCATATACACATACAGAAACATTGATACGTTAACATCGAGACTAAGACACACCCCCACACAACATACAGAGAATGACGCATACTGACATACATAAATGCAAACATTGTCAAAGAGACAGAGTCACAAGTTCAGATACACAGGCACAGATAGATCCACCTACACGTAGATGTACGAACATTTGCCCATATACCTACAATGAGGCACTACTTCAGATATACTGACATACAGAAAATAAATTCAGATACACAATCACGTACAAAATACACATACACACACAAATATATTTATTTGTATGTTTATGTGTATGGATACAATCTTTCTTGTTGATGGGAATGTGTTCTCTATGAATGAAAAAGAGAGAATATTCAAGTGTGTGGGTGTGCACGTGAGGGTGTGTCTTTTTATACCTGTCTTCGGAATGTGAACTGTTGTTTCAGCATTTTTAGTCGCTCATTTCCGATTTTGTGTTTTATAATGATCTTAACACGTTCCTTGGAACTGGATAGTTTTCGCATGAATAGTAAAAAGAAAACCATTTCTAATGACAAAAAGTATGAAAGTGTAGGCATTAAGAAAGCTTTAATCAACTGAGAATACAAGGTTCGTGTAAAGTGTCCTTTTATAGTCCCAGTAAACGGGAATAGCTCTCTCAAAGAGAGGGTAACAAAGCAAGAGGAGACCACTCTTGATTATTCATAACACCATTTTTGAAATTCACAACATTTCCAGCGGAGTCTGTAATGTATTGCGGGCTTGATTAATAGTCAGAGACTATAATTGTATAGTTCATTTTTAAAAGATTTACTCTATCCTTATTCTTTTCAAGCAAAAGGCAAATATTTTCCGCACGAGACAATATGTATCTGAGATAAATAAAGATTATTACTGTAGACTTTTTCCCATTTTCTTTGTTCCCAGAACATTTTAGATTGAGAACCCTTAAGATATGTTCTTAGTATACACAATTTTCTTACAGTTTTAAGTGGAATGTCTTTCAAATAATTTTACTATTCCATTTGTAAAATGAAAAAAATTCGGACAATGCTCATTTTATTAATTAGACGATTTAAAAGTTTTGTTGCGAGAAACTTATGTCGTCTTGAATAACCAATTTTACATATAATAATGTTAGTAATGTTTGTCTTAAGTCATTATCGATTTTTTTTTAATTCCAATTCATTTGTAAAGTAAAAGTATTAATGATTATTCTAGAAAAACTTCAAAGCATTAAAGTTACATATATAGATTTTGCTAGACTTTAAATATATGTCTATAGTAAAATAATCTGCAATACATTTCTACTGTAAAATTATCTATAATGGTTTTATATAGCAAAATAATTTTCTAAAGATTTATATTGCACGACGTTCCTGAAAA